ATGAGTGCTGCCAGTATGTGATAAAAAATTACGAAATTTTATTTTTTTAAATTTTTTATCAATATAAACTGCTAGTATGACAGTCTGAGCAAGTGGCCGGGTTGAATACATCACTCTGGATCGAAGATCTATGATAATCAACGGTTAATAATTTAGTGCTCAATGAGTGCTGCCAGTATGTGATAAGAAGTAACGAAATTTTAATTTTTTTAAATTTTTTATCAATATAAACTGCTAGTATGACAGTCTGAGCAAGTGACAGGGTTGAATACATCACTCTGGATCGAAGATTTATGATAGTCAACGGTTAATAATTTAGTGCTCAATGAGTGCTGCCAGTATGTGATAAGAAGTAACGAAATTTTAATTTTTTTAAATTTTTTATCAATATAAACTGCTAGTATGACAGTCTGAGCAAGTGACAGGGTTGAATACATCACTCTGGATCGAAGATTTATGATAGTCAACGGTTAATAATTTAGTGCTCAATGAGTGCTGCCAGTATGTGATAAAAAATTACGAAATTTAATTTTTTTAAATTTTTTATCAATATAAACTGCTAGTATGACAGTCTGAGTAAGTGGCCGGGTTGAATATATCACTCTGGATCGAAGATCTATGATAATCAACGGTTAATACTTTAGTGCTCAATGAGTGCTCTGTAAAGAGTGATGTATTCAACCCTGTCACTTGCTCAGACTGTCATACTAGCAGTTTATATTGATAAAAATTTAAAAAAATTAAAATTTCGTTATTTTTATCACATACTGGCAGTACTCATTGAGAACTAAATTATTAACCGTTGACTATCATTAATCTTCGATCAAGAGTGATGTATTCAACCCGATCACTTGCTCAGACTGTCAAACTAGCAGTTTTTATTAATAAAAAATAAAAAAATCCAAATGTTATATCACATACTGGCAGCACTCATTGAGCACTAAATTATTAACCGTTGACTATCATAAATCTTCGATCCAGAGTGATGTATTCAACCCGGTCACTTGCTCAGACTGTCATACTAGAAGTTTATATTGATAAAAAATTTAAAAAATTAAAATATCGTAATTTTTTATCACATACTGTTAGCACTCATTGAGCACTAAACTATTAACTATTGATTATCATAGATCTTCGATCCAGAGTGATGTATTCAACCCGGTGACTTGCTCAAACTGCCATACTAGCAGTTTCATTTGCTAAAAAATTAAATATTTTGTTTTTTTCTAATTTTTTTTATCATATACTGGCAGCACTCATTGAGCACTAAATTATTAACCGTTGACTATCATAAATCTTCGATCCAGAGTGATGTATTTAACCCGGTTACTTGCTCAGACTGTCATACTAGCAGTTAATTTTTATAAAAAAATAAAAAAATACAAATGTTTTATCACATACTGGCAGCACTCAATGAGCTCTAAATTATTAACCGTTGACTATCATAAATCTTCGATCCAGAGCGATGTATTCAACCCAGTCACTTGCTCAGGCTGTCATACTAGCAGTTTATATTGATAAAAAATTAAAAAAAAATCCTAATTTTTTATCACATGCTGGCAGCACTCATTGAGCACTAAATTATTAACCGTTGACTATCATAAATCTTCGATCCAGAGTGATATATTCAACCCGGTCACTTGCTCAGACTGTCATACTAGCAGTTTATATTGATAAAAATTAAAATAAAATAAAATTTCGTTATTTTTTATCACATACTGGCAGCACTCATTGAGCACTAAATTATTAACCATTGATTATCATAGATCTTCGATCCAGAGTGATGTATTCAACCCAGTCACTTGCTCAGACTGTCATACTAGCAGTTTATATTGATAAAAAATAAATAAAAAATCCTAATTTTTTATCACATACTGGCAGCACTCATTGAGCACTAAATTATTAACCGTTGATTATCATAGATCTTTGATCCAGAGTGATGTATTCGAACCGGTCACTTGCTCAGACTGTCATACTAGCAGTTTGTATTGATAAAAAATATTTTTTTTTATTTTCCAGAATTTTCATCAGATACTGCCAGCACTCATTAAGCACTAAATTCCCTATGCATTGCTTTAGTTCTATACCGCGTTAATATAGGCGTTTCAGGGAATACACTGCTAGCTTAATTAAAAGCTGGCAGTGTTCTAATTTTTCGCTAAACTATGAGAGCATTAAATTTCCGGTTTTGGCACTAAATTAGCACTAAATAAGCACTAATTGATGCACTTTATTTTAAACGATTCTGCTCACTTTGCCATGCTAGCTTAACAGACGTGGAATGTGCTCTCCTTGCCTTAGGTGGCGGCTGGGATCCTTACTGGAAATCAACCACGCCCCCGCCGGTCGGCCCGGCTTTTAGCCAGGCTACCTCACGATCGGGGGGATTTCCAGGCACATGGTGGAAATCCCCCCAGACTGCGGTGCCGTGCAATGCAGGCGCGGGTTACCCCACCTACGCCCGCTGGCCCCGACTCAGGGTGGAAGACTGCGGATGTATTCCCGCATCCTTCCCATTCGTCCCATTCGTCTGCGTCGGATTGGCTCCGCCTGAGGGTCTTGTTCACGGGCCCGCTCCGCTGCCTCTTTTTACGACATCACCTCTTCGCAAAAGGAGGATACCGTCTTCCAGGACCTATCTTTGGCAAGCATGGCCGAGATCACGCTCGGCAACGAGAGGTCCAGTCCTATGACCGCGGTGAGGGTGCTGCGCTGCCGAGACCAAGTGGCACACACCGCGCCGCATTTGTGGCGTATTGGGGAGGGCTCTCTCCCTATCCGAAACAGGTACTTTCCAAAGCAGCCGTGCCCGGTAAGCACCTGCACCAGTCGGTAAGTCAACGACCCGTGTTTTCTTTGGACCCAGTCATCAAGTACCGGGCGCACGGCCTCAATGGTACGGATGCCGTAAATGGGAGAGTTAAGTATCTCTTTCTACCTCTCTAACACCCTCTCGTACGCCACAAGTCGGACCCTCCTCATTTCCTCCGGAGATGGGCGTTCTCCCCTTCCTCGCGCTTCCACCCTGTACCGGTATCGTCAGCCTCGAGCTCCCAGGGTGGCCCCACCAGTACACAGACTGCCGCTCCGGAAACAGTGCGGCATCCTCTAATGGCCCGCGAAGCCTCCTCAGTAAGGTCCTGGTTTTGCGGTTCAGGGCCTCATTCCAAACTGGGGCCCCGTACATCGCCATGCACCTGACGACGCCCGCAAAAAGTCGTCTGCAGGAAGCGCTGGGGGCCACATTTGGCATAATACGGGCCAGGGAGGCTGCCACTTTTGTGAGCCATTTAAAAGCAAGGCATTTAAAGTGCTCGTTGAATTTCCACCGAGCATCTAATACCAGACCCAAGTATTTTAAGTAAGGACTCAGTTTGATTCCCTTCCTATCTATCATCACAGGTGAACCCCCGGGAGGCCTTCTCCGTAGACCGTGAAAGAATATGACTTCCGTCTTATCCAGCGCCACTTACAGCCCCAGCATCCGAATACGTTTCACAACCAGGGTTATCCCCACCGAGGCACGGCATGCCGCCTCTTCGGATATCTCTAGCCGGGACAACCATGTTTCTCTCAGGACAAAATTATAGCCAATATTCCACAGGAGCGGACCTAACACCGATCCCTGTGGAACGCCCCGCTTCACATCATGAGTCATCAATTTCCCGCCTCTGCTGATGTACAGCACCTGTCTCTCAGTCTGATAGCTGCGGACGATTCGCCGGAGGTACCACGGCACCTGATGGTACCGATGAGCCTCCAGTATCACTGAAAAGGGAAGTGAGTTAAACGCGTTGGCGATATCAAGTGATACCGCCAGCAGACACTCGCCCTCTCCCCCAGCTTTCATAACCAGTCGCCGCAGCTCCAACACAGCGTCCACTGTGGAACGCCCCCTACGGAAGCCGTATTGGCGGTCGGAGATATCAGGACCAACTTCGTCCAGGTGCTTTAAGAGGCGAGCAGCTATAATCCTCTCGAATAACTTGCCCATCTCATCCAAAAGCACTATAGATCGGTAGGCTGAGGGGGACTCGGGGGGTCGTCCATCCTTTTGGAGGAGGCACAACCTCCTCCTCAAAACACGCACAGAACATGTCCTTTAGGCGTTCCCCTAGGTGTTTGGTGGCCAGAACCAGAACTCGGCCTGGTACACCGTCGGGCCCCGGAGCCTTCTTTTTTACTCTCAATCTGTCAACCGCGCCGTCAAACTCCGCCTGCGAGATTTGGGGAATCTCTTCGGCTATAGGCTCCATCTCCGGCTCGGGGGGCGCCATTACCGGGGACGAAAACTGCTCCTGTGGGGGAAACAGTGTCCCGACCACCCTGGATAGGAGCTGGGGATCCATATTCTCAGTTATGGGTGCACTGTGACGCATTTTGTCCCGTACATTTTGTACGGGCGTCCCCACGATCGGCATGTAGTTCCTCGAGGAACTCCTTTCTAGCCTGATCTTTGGCATTGTTGATACCGATTTTCAGGGCCATCTTCGCGTTTTTATAGGCCCTGTGCAGAGTTCCTCCACTTCGTCGGTATGACGTCTCCGTCTACACCTTTTGTGAGCCCTTCGGAGGGTCACTACCTCCTCCGTCCACCAGTATACCATCTTCTTATCATGATGGCGAACTACTCGAGGTATGTCCGCGTCGCAGATGGCCGTCAGCGATCTGCGAAATGCCAATGCCCCTTCGTTCATCCCTTGTGGTGTGGAACTCCAACTTTCGACGATGGCCGCCTCCTCTACCATCCCGACATCGAGGTGTGTCATCGCCCACCTAGGGAAGTGCCTCCTTTCTCCTCCTGGTTGAGGCCGCATCCGACGGAACGTGTGACCCTGAATGATATATATTGATGGTCGGACAGGGTCAACTCTTCCATCACACGCCACTCGTCTATATGTCTGGCGACGCCGAGAGACGCAAAATTTACATCCACGATGGGGCCCCCCAAGACATACCCCCTATGGTTTTATGCAATTTTAATTGTGCATTTGTTTCAGAAATGGTCAAACAAATTAAGAACTTATTCGTAAACTACGGGGACATCGTGAGATTCTGGCTGGGGCCCGATCTTAATATTGTCGTAGCCTGCCCTGATGAACTCAAGGTAAATCTGCTTTTGTGACGCCCATACATTTCGGATACGCCTAATCCATTATGGGACAAACTATACTTGGCCGTCATCGGCCAAACACGGCCGATCAAATCAATCGTATGTAAAAAAGTGAGTGTGTACACCTACTTTTATATTCCTAGTAACTAGGGATCATAAAAAAATTTTTTTGGCGTACATTTTTAGAACCGCCTTCGTCTGATGACGCCCGTCCAAATTCATACGTTTTACGTTTAATTCAATCGGCTGATAACGGATTAGGCTTAGATAAATGACTGGTCCCCGTCATTGAGTCTAATTTATCTAATGGATTGGGAGTATCCGAGGCTATAGAGTATTATTTGAATCTTTAAACAGATTTTAAAAAACTTCGCAGTTGAAGTGAACATGTATCGATGATTTGTATTTTAATATATAAAATAAAAAAATCGTTATATTAAGCTTATTATTTTCTAGTCGAAGCACATATTATAATGATAGTGATGATTTTTAAAGTATAGTTATAATAAACAATAATAATAACTTTATCGACGAAGTACGAAAAGGGCCGCTAACAATGGACTGCGGGCATATCATTTTGACATTAATCAATTTAATTATGATTCACAATTTGGTTACAGGTTCTCCTGACTAACTCTAAAATGAGTGTTAAAGGGCCGCAGTATAAGTACATGGCCGACCTGATCGGTAGAGGACTTTTAAGTGGTTCAGGTAAATTAAGCTTACTACAAATTGATATTGCTCTTGCTTAATTAAATACAGTCAAACAGTCATTAAATAATCATCATTAGTCTATCAATGTTCCCAGTGCAGGGGAACAGGCCTTCTCTACGAATGGAATTGGGAGATTGGGCCATTAGCCACCATGCGGGCCCAACGACTGCATATGCAGTCATGACCAACAAATTAGGGGGCGTTGTTTCATCAATAGTTTTGACTATGACATTAACTATAGTCAAATAAAACTATCAAAACAAGCAGCCGTCATAATTTGACTTTAACTTTTTTATGTTTTCACATGGACCTGAAAAAAAGACGGACGTAACCTCGTCTAATCGTGAGTGAAGCATGCCTATGGCCCAAAGATTAGTATTTACTATGGCCGCTCCCTTACCGCGTGTGCGTGATTTGAGGGTTGTCGGGTGAAACATCAATTTCCCTACTTTTTAAATCTTGCCTCGCAAACTAAAACATATATAGGGTGAAATAGAATGTTTTAATGAAACTTCGTGAGATTGTTGGGTTACGAGTATAGAGTATGCCTGATTTTTTTCGGATTTTTTTGAAGTATTTTTTTTCATGTATTTATTTATAATTTGTGTATTTTTTTGTCCTTTCCTCCTTTTGAGTAGTTATTCATATTAAACAAACATGCTTACATATCCAGTGAAAAACAACTAATAAATAAGCACTTCTAAAGAACGGAAAAACAGTAAAATTCCACCGCGGGTCAACGACCGACCGCGCCCGCCAGCCGTTGAGTGAGTAGGTACGTACACAGAGCTCAGCTGACTCGTTTGATTCCACACAATACAATAAAATCGTCTTAGATGCCTTTATTGAAATTGAAATAATAAGCACAAATGTCATCTTCTCTTAAGCAGAGAAAAACTTAAAAAGTTAATAATAATTTTGTCACGATTGGAAATAGGCAAAAGTTAAACAAAAAGAAATACTTATTGCAGTTCAATACTTGGGTCAGAATGAAATTTATTACCAGGTATTCAAAAGTACTTACGAGACCGATGTACCTATTAATTTTTTTCTCTATAACTTCCCAATAAATCACCAAACCTACTTTCGTAAAGCCTTGTGGCTCTGCTGAGTATTCCGTGACACTCGCAATAACAACACACCATATCCAAATTTTTATATTGAGGGCACAGAACAAGAACTAATCAAGGCATTATTTGCAAATCTTGTCTTGTCACAAATTTAAAAGATACGCACGCGCGCTTGAGACTCCGCTCGCTCACTGCGCTGTGCACCGCGCATACCTAGATAGGTAGGCAGGAAGGTATTCAACGGCGGGAGCGGTCATTGCTCCCGGCCGCCCGTCTCCTGTTTTTACGTCTTTTTTAGTAGTGCTTATTACTTGTTTTTTACTTACTCTGTATGCATGTTTTAAAAGAATAATTATTAAGTACCCAAAAGGAGGAAAGGACTTAAAATATAACAAAAAAAAAACAAAATTTTATTTTAAATCATTTTTTAAAAAATCCGAAAAAATTCAGAGATACTCTATATTCGTAACCCAACATTCCCACGAAGTTTCATTAAAACATTCAATTTCACCCTGTATATTATAATAATGGGATATTTACCACGTATTATACTCGTTGTGAACATTCATAGCGAAGGCATGTGCTTCAGCAGTGGAGACATTAATAGGCTGATGATGATGAGGTCAATGATATACATTTATAATAATGAAAAAATCAGAGCTAATTTGGATTCCTAATTTACTTAACCGATTTTAATCAAATTTGCACACCGTGTGCAGTTTGATCCAACTTGAAAGATAGGATAGCTTACATCTCAATTTATAGTCGCAATATTATCTTATTGCAAATTATTACTTTTGGGCGGTACAAAGTTCGCCGAGTCAGCTAGTATTCTATAGATTTACTAGCTGTCCCAGCGAACTTTGTACCGATTAAACCGATTAAAAAAATAGGCGTTGGTGGTAGAACGTTGAAAATTTAGGGTTTTATGTATTTTTGTACGATATATCATAAAAAATAAAAACAAAAAGTCCAAATATTTTTTTTTAAGGCTGGACCACCCTTACTATTTAGGGGGATGAAAAATAGATATTGTCCGATTCTCAGACCTACTGAATATGCATATAAAATTTCACGAAAAGCGGTCGAGCCGTTTCGCAGTAGTTCAATTACGCACACCGTGACATGAGAATTTTATATCTTAGATAAATCGCGCAGATTGCGTATGGAACCAAACAACGTAGCCCCTTAGCTGTTGTTATAATCATCAAAATGTGCACTGCACACAGTACTGGCAGTTGACGGGTTCGAATTGTTTTCTTCTCTGCAGTTTGTAATAGCTAAAAAAACCCAGTAGTCATAAAAATGAGGCAAAAGTAATTTTATATGAATAATATGGGTTCTGTTCTTTTCCGTTTGGAATACGGAACCGTAAAAAGTTACGAAATCTTGTTATACCGAGTCACAAATGCATGAAATACAAATTTCCCTACTTTTAGGAAAATTTTCCCGTAAAAAAAGTAGCCACACAGTTGTATTTTTAGTTGTATAGGAGACCGATTTCCGGCAGGAAAGTGAAAGCGACTCTTTTAAAGTTATTATTTTATTTGAATTATTTGACTAACTATCTAAAAGCTTAAAACGAGTTTTTATTTTGAAAAATGCCTAGCGAAAGCGATGGGTACGATACTGGTGGTACACCCAGGTTCTCCGAACCCAAAAAACGGAGACATGAATCGTATGACGATGGCGCCAAATATAAAACTTTTTCAAAACCAGGGTACAAACGGAGTTATCCTGATGTTCCAGACAGCAGATTCGCGGGATATCCAGTTATATGTAGAGAGCATTCAAAAAGAAGACAAACTTGGTAATAAAAATCCATTACAACAATCGAATTTTTTTAAGAATGTGTAAGGTACCTTTAATCGACGTAGAGTCAATGCGTCCAAAATAATGATTGTATTTAAGCAGGCGGCATTTGCCAATGAATTTTTATGGAATGATTGTTTGGCTTAAAATGGCATGCGGCCATATATTCCTACAGCTTCTATGGAGAGTTTTGGGGTAGTGGTTTGTATCCCGACAGAAGCGGGAAATCAAGAATTATATTCGAAACTCAACGCTGAGATCATCTCAGTCAGACGCTTCATGATTATTTTGTTATTTATTAAAAGCATTTGACTTAAATGAGCTTATTTTAGCCCTAAGATCTAGAAAATATACAGCTCCAGGTCTAGATAATATCCCTTAAGTAATATTAAAGAAATTACATATAACAGCAAAAACTGTACTATTCAATATTTTTAAATCACTATGGGAAAATCAGGTAGTTCCAGAATCATAGAAAACTCAGTGTATCATTCCAATATTAAAGCCCGATAAACCAACAGATGATCACAACTCATACAGACCTATTTCATTGTCTTCTTGTGTGGGTAACCTCTTTGAAAAAATGCTCAAAGCAAGATTAGATCATTATATAGAATCAAATAGTATCTTACCTTATAATCAATTTGGCTTCCGTAAAGGACGTAGTTCTTCTGAGAGCTTTGTTAGCTATATATCTGACATGAAAAATTGCTTATATTCTTGATCCCAGACAGTGTGTGTATTCCTTGATGTTCAGGGTGCATATGACAATGTTGAAATAGATTGCCTGTGTCGAGTGCTGTATGATTTAATTTTTTCTGGAAAATTAATACAATGGACTTATAACTTTCTGAATGGTCTAACTCTGTATGTAAAATATAATAATATTATTCATGGACCTAGTACATCCCATAAAGGAATAATGCAGGGAGCTTGCCTGTCTCCAATGCTGTATAATTTATATACGTCACAAATAATGACCTATATAAATCCTGAAGTTAAAGTCTTGCAGTTTCCTGATGATCTTTATTATAGTGTTAATAGAAATGTAGACTTAGCTATACAAAAACTAAACTTAACATTACAACAGTTATTGTATTACTATAGATATAAATTAAAACTTAATATTAATTCACCTAAAAGTGCTGTATTGGTAGTTGGCTCTGATAATCCAGTGAATATCAAATTACTGATTCCACAAACTAATTCGTAGCCATAATTCGAGTTTGGGCTCATGAGATTCGTCTTAACATAATAAAACTTTGCTATTATATGAAGATTAAGTGACAATACAATATTATGGTACCATTGAGCTGGTCTGATGATGGGACTGGAAGGTGGAGTGATTTTTAATTTGTGCATCTACCGTGCACAAGATGCAAGGCTCTACGGTAGACCACGCAGTGATATACTTAGGGCCCCGTACTTTTGCGGCTGGACAGGCGTATGTGGCCCTCAGTAGAGTAAATCACTTAGTGGTCTCCAAATTGAAGACCTAGATTGTTCTAATCTGACTGGTAAAACACCATGCAATACAGACGCACTGACGGAAATTTAGAGGATGCGGGCTCATTCGCCTACCTAAAACAATGTTTATAATTATGTTAAATATATTTTGTTATCAAAGACTAAAAAGTATAAAATAAATAAATTGATTAAAAAAACTAGAAAACCACGCTTTTATAAATGCACATAAAAACAAAAAATAAATTATGGATAGTTCAAGTTGTCGCAATTTCTGGGCTGAAGTGTAAACTATGTGCTCTTAATTATTATATCTTTATATATATAATTCTTTTGTGAGTGTGTATGTCATTGAACTTCTCTTAAACGACTGGACCGATTTTGATGAAATTTTTTGTGTGTGTTCAAGGGGATCTGAGAATGGTTTAGATTCACAATTTTGTCCGCTGGACAACCCCTATTTTTTTAGGGCGGTACGAAGTTCGCTGGGTCAGCTAGTTTGATTATAAAAGCGTGGGGTGCTGGTAAAGGAAAGACTATTTGTATAACTTGCTGAGAAATCAAGCAAAGCGATGTTACGGGAATCAGGTTACATAGAGTTCCAGTAACTGAGTTGCAACACGACTAGTATTCACTTACATATTCTATTCA